TAATCCAAACAGAGATGCAGAGACTGTCTTCTTTCCCCCAGTTATAACCATCTGAGCATTCTTTTGCCCTCACTGAGGGATAAGACTCTTGCAGGTCAGCAGCATCTGCCTTGATTCAAAGTGATACCCTTTGTGATCCACAAACAGTGCAGCTCCGAACACAAAGGGGATGGTGGGATTCCTTCTAGTTGCCTATCCAGTAGCATTCCCATCCCACCTTACAGCCTCCTTCTTAAAGCAAGCCCAATTTCGTTCCATTATCAGGCAACCACAGATTTATGGAAGACTGGCCCCAGCCCTAGGAAATGGATCTTGATTTCAGTTCATACCAACAAGGGAATGGATACAGTGGATCCATACAAGGGGACCCACTCCCCTTGCTAATGATGGAGTGTGATGCCATTCTGACCAATGTGACCTGAGGGGGAAGCCTGCCCTTTGGTGAAGCTTTCTCTCTCTCCAAAACTGGCATATGGCCGTCTACACGTGAAACCATCTTGGGGCCCTGAGGAGAGGCCAACCCTACAGGGTAAGCTAAGACCCAAAGGATGGCAGGGTCGGAGGAGAGAAAAGATCTCGAGACATGCTTGAGCCACAGAATTAACCAATCCTGGAACGCCTACAGCTAGACTTCTTACTCTTGGAAGGGACATGATATTTTTCTTATTATTAAAACCACTTCCACTTGAGTTTTCTATTACCTGCTACTGAAAGCATCCCAAACGACAGGCACGCCAGACTGCTTTTACCTCCAAGGCCTTTGTAAGTGCTCTTCTCCTTCCTCTTCCTCCCAGGCCCTCTTTCCTCCACTTGGATGCTCCCTCATCCTCCATGTTTCAGCAGAGATATCCTGGCTCCCAGAAGCCATCCTTGACCTTCTCTCATTAGCATCCCCTGCATCCTACACTTCCTTCTCACAGCACTTACGTCTCCGGTCCAGCCTGTCCTTCTCTAGGCTGCAAGTTCCCTGAGGACTGGGACCATGACCATATGTTTCCTGCCGTATCCCAGGTCTAGCACTTAATAGGCACCCATTTTATTTATTCAACAGACATGAAGAACAGTTAACGCTTATTAAGCACTTCACATGAACCAAGTTCTAAACACCTTGATCCTCACAACCACCAGTGAAATAGGCACTTCATTATGGCCATTTTACAGGTGAGAGAACAGGCACAGAGAGGCTGATTCACTTGCCCAGGGTCACACAGCTAAAGAGTGCTAAACAAGAATTTTAACACAGGTGGTCTCTTCCCACTACACAATACAAAACCACTGAACACCTACCACTTGCAAGGCATGGTTGAAAGTGCTGGGAATACAGTGTGACCGAGACAAAGCTCCTGCCTTTGCAGAGTTTACATTTTAATGGGAGGAGACAGATAATAAACAAGTAACAAACTTATAACTTTAAAGCATATAACTTTAAAATCACAAACTTTATATTTAAATCTCATTTCCCCATTAATCACTGGTATGACCTTGAGCCAATTACTAACCCCCTCTGAACCTCAACTCACAACCATATGTGGAACTGGATTGATATGGGAACAAAATAAGAATATTTGTAAAATGGCCTTTTATACCATCTGCCACATAATAGGGGCTTAATAAATGTTGATAGTTGAATCTGGATCCCCACAAAGAATAAGCCCCATGAAGAGAAGCTAAAGGAATTTTGGAACTGCAGAACTGGTTGAAGGAGTCTACAGAGGATCTGACTGCTCCGTTAGGAAAGGGTAATTTATCTTCTTGGTCTAGAAGGAGTCCAGAACCAAGCCAGCTCCCAACTCCCTTTTCCCCAAGTTATTATCTACATCTGCTGGAGACAAAACAGGGATTGGCCAGGATATCAATTGACCAAGATATCAATTTCTTGTGCTAAATCACCACTCATGACATGTGAGAGGCTGCCAGTATGTTTGCATTAATAAAGCCTTATCTGGCCTGTGAAGATCTCAATAATTGCCCCAGAGGCCAGCAAGGAGACCATGATCAACACAACAGACCTGGGGGTGGACAGTGATGGAAAAATGAACCCTAGGTCCTAATTATTGATGGATCTTGTCTTCTTCCCCAATTGCATTGAATTATTAATACATATTTATTAAGAACCTATTTATTCATTATTTCAGAATGGATAAATGCTAATATATTTAACTGGTGCTATTTTGAAAATTGTCATCTCTCTCAGCCCATCTTTTTGACTGCCCCAAGGCAAGGGAAAACCAGACATTTACATAGAGTAGAGGAGAGCTAGCAGCTTCTCAGGTGGTGATGGTGGTAAAGAAACCCCCGGCCAACGTAGGAAACATTAGAGATGCGGGTTCAAGCCCTGAGTAGGGAAGATCCCTTGCAGGAGGGCACAGCAACCCGCTCCAATATTCTTGCCTGGAGAATCACATGGACAGAGAAGACTGGCAGTCTGTAATCCACAGGGTTGCAAAGAGTCAGACACGACTAAAGCAATTTAGCACTCATGCACAGAGGAGAGCTACCTGGAGTAACAGGCAAGTTTGGCCTTGGAGTACAGAATGAAGCAGGGCAAAGACTAACAGAGTTTTGCCAAGAGAGTGCACTGGTCTTAGCAAACACCCTCTTCCAACAACACAAGAGAAGACTCTACACATGGACGTCACCAGATGGTCAACACTGAAATCAGATTGATTGTATTCTTTGCAGCCAAAGATGGAGAAGTTCTATACAGTCAGCAAAAACAAGACTGGGAGCTGACTGTGGCTCAGATCATGAACTTATTGCCAAATTCAGACTTAAATTGAAGAAAGTAGAGAAAACCACTAGACCGTTCAGGTATGACCTGAATCCCTTACAATTATACAGTGGAAGTGAGAAATAGATTCAAGGGATTAAATCTGATAGACAGAGTGCCTGAAGAGCTATGGACAGAGGTTCATAACACCATACAGGAGGTGGTGATCAAAACCATCCCCAAGAAAAAGAAATGCAAAAAGGCACAGTGGTTGTCTGAGGAGGCCTTACAAATAGCTGAGAAAAGAAGAGAAGCAAAAAGCAAATGAGAAAAGGAAAGATATTCCCATCTGAATGCAGAGTTCCAAAGAACAGCAAGGAGAGATAAGAAAGCCTTCCAAAGTGATCAACGCAAAGAAATAGAGGAAAACAATAGAATGGGAAAGACAAGAGATATCTTCAAGAAAATCGGAGATACCAAGGGAACATTTCATGCAAAGATGGGCACAATAAAGGACAGAAATGGTATGGACCTAACAGAAAAGGAAGGTGTTAAGATGAGGTAGCAAGAATACATAGAAGAAACTATACAAAAATGATCTTCATGGCCCAGATAACCACGATGGTGTGCAACTGAGTATACACAATTAATGACTATTCAGATGATTTATTTAGGCATTGTTATTAAATTCAGTGATATAAGCAGCATCTTCGTAAAGTTGCTAGGTCACTGTGTACATGTTTTTGGTGTTGTTTGTTTTGATTTACTGTGAAAAATGCCCTCTAAACTACTGCTCTACCTGTGATGTACAATAAAAGTACCCTTCATATTTAAAAATTAAAAAGTGAGGCTGCTACTTGTCCACCATAAGCTCCAAGCTTATGGGAGAAAATTCCCTGCCTTGCTTTGCAGTGAGTGGCTCATGTTCCTTAAAATAGAAGCATAAGTTTTATGTTTATAAGAGTGCCCCTCTCCTGCTAATCACTCACCTTTAAAATCCATACACTTAACCCAATGATTTCTCATGGCTTAACACATTTGCAGAACCCTGCTTTTGGATATAATGTTAAGTCAGATTGATCCACCCAAGAAAACCAAATTTATTACTTTATAGTCAGAGGAGTTGGTTTCTCCTAAAACATATCAGCCAGCTTTTATAATGGAGTTACCTAGGCTTGGCTCTAAATGACATCTGGCTGTTTCCAAAAGTAAAATTCATCCTTTTTAAGAAAAATATTTGGACCACTGAGAATGTTCAAAGCAATGTGCCACAACATATTTTTTTTTTTTTTTTGCGAAGATGGGGTTTTTATTTTGTAAGGCCCGACACATACAATGCCATGTGCCACAACATATTTTTAAGCAGCCTAAAGGACAGTCTAAAGATTATTGCCTCAGTTCAGTGACTAAACATGCATATGTCAGTGTGTGTGCGTACATCCATATATGCTGATGCATAAACAATCACCAGGAAGATATACATTAGTTTTGACAGGGGTCTTCTTAGGGTGCTAAGATTATGGATGAGCTACTTTTTAAACTGTATTTTCCTGTACTTTCCAAACTTTCTGCAACAAATCTATATCACTTTTGTAATCAGGGGGGAAAAGCACAATAAATATTTCATAAATATATTTTTAATGTGCCACCGACCCTGAAGGCAACTTCAGATCAGAAGTTATAACAATGCTTGGCTCAGGAAAGCGTCAATGGATTAAATGGCTTGCCTTCCATGCTACAACTTTTGAAGGGCACAACCCTCATTTAGATGTACAACTTCTATTATGTCTGCTGTTGTTTCTTAAAATTACTCTCCATTAACTTAGGGCCACACTGTATAAAGTCATTCCATCTGAGCCAGTGGCAGCTAAGCATAGTAATTCAGACCTTACAATACGTGCAGTTGCTAACCCCCATGGACAGGGCCCACGACAGGCCTGCATTGTGCCCAACGTCGTTCTGTTACATGGGGTCGCGGTCCAGAGCGAGGCCCCAGTGAATTTCCTTTGAAAACCCCTGCACCCGACTCAAGAAACGTTTCTAAAGGAGAAGAAAAGGCATGACCCCATCTGAAATGTAATCTCTCCTGTTCTGTAACATGGGATAGAAAAGGGTATTGGCAAGAAGCAACAGTAACAGTAACCGTGGCTGTAAGGACAAGGTGGTCCCAGGTGTTTCAAAGATTGTAAGCAAGTGGAAACTTCTGCCTCTTGTCAGGGAACAAACAGCTCCGAGATCCAAAATGCTCTATGACGTCACCATCGGTTCCGACCACCAAATGGGATGACAGAGGAAAAGCAGTGAGGTAGGGCCTGTCTTGACCACACCGGCCAGAGAGAGGTAAGGTTCTTGCAATAAAGAAATTGAAGCACTTGGATGCCTGAGACGAGCTCTTCAAATTTCCAGCAAATCACCTTTTCTTGCAGGAATCAAAATTTCTCTCTCTTGTTACCTCGCATTTACTCAATTCATTAAATCATCTCCTCCAATCATTCCAATGTGGAATCGCCAAGAACACTCAGTAACAACAAGAAAAAGCCTTAAATACTCCTGAGGAAACAAGGGGAATGGAGCAAAGAAAAGGGATATAACCCAGAGTTGTAGAACGCCCTACACGTTTTTGGCAAGTTTGAACTTAGGGGTACCTCTGTCCCATCTGATGTGACCTTAAAACAGCTCGGATCAGCTGTGGAGTCAGTGGGGAACTTGAGGAGGAAGAAGAGGATTGATTGACATATTGTCAACTCAATTATTTTTCCATCAATAAAAACTTCTCGGGGGCTTTCTGGTGGCCCAGTCGTTATGAATCCACCTTGCAGCGTCAGGGACACGAAGACCCTGCGTGCCACAACAAAGGCCCCAGGCAGTCAGATAAATAAGGAAATGAATATTCTTTAAAAATTCACAAAAGCTGAGACTCCACAGAAAACTGTATGCGCAGAGAGAACTGACTAGGAAGAAGGGATATAGGAACCACCTGGTCTATCACGTCTCATACTTTAGCTGATAAGGTAAGCCCTAAAACAGGATATGCAGTCATACTGCATGTAAACTACACCTCAATAACCTGACTTAAAAAAAAAAAAAAGAGGAGACACAGATGTAGAGAGAAATTGCCCTATAAAATTCCCCCTTCTCCCCATGTTACTAACTCCTGGTGAAGAAGGGGAAGGTACCCACTCTGGGTGGCTTGCATAAATGAGGAGTATTAAAGGGGAATCTATGGATGCTCCCTTTCCAGCTGACCTGGGTATCAAGACAATGTGATGGAGCCTTAAAGCCATTAAATGTCTTCCACGGTAATAAAAGCCTTCCTACTGTGAAACAACTTTAAACTGTTCCATACCTCTCAAAAACAGACTCCTGAAAGGTACAACTGTGCATCCATAATGATGTGAGAGAGAAATACTTTCCTTGCCAAGGAGCTAATCAGTCAATCAACATCTAACCTTTTAGAAAGAATTCATCCACACTTCAGTGGGCTCCCTGTCTGTCTAAAAACCACGAAAGCATCCTGGGATTTGCCTGGTAATAGTTCAGCAGATGGCAGAACTTTAAATATGGGGAAAAAATCAACCAACCAACCAACGGTTTTTGAGCATATGTTCTTCTGAGACACAGTACTAGACCCTGGAGGAGACTACATGTAAAAGGGGATTTCTGTCTTTGTTAAGTTCTGATCATCACTGGGGAGCTGCCTTATTCATTAAAAGCAGAATACTTCAAAAACTGTTTGAAACAGATTACAGTCATTACTTTCATAGAAATTAATTCAATCCTTCCTGTAGACCTAAGTTTGTGTTAATCACCCTGCCTTATAATTAGTGATACAAAAGAACAGCACAAGAAGTGTCTTGGGATACGATGAGCGACAAATGTATAGGTGATATAGACCATGGGCCTGACTTTACAAAGAATATGAGACAAATTTCATGAATATAAAATATCTGAGTAGAAGAGAGGAATAATAACATTTAAGCCAGGTGTTGTAGTGTGAACAAAGGTGTGATTGCATAGTCACTGCCAGAAAGTAAATTACTGTTGCTATTGTTGTTCTGCTAAGTTGAGCCTGACTCTTTCAGGAACCCATAGACTGTAGCCCAGCAGGTCCCTCTGACCATGGAGTTTTCCAAGCAAGAATACTGGATTAGGTTGCCATTTTCCTCTCCGGGGGCTCTTCCTGACCCAGGGATTGAACCCAGGTCTCAAACCCATGTCTCTTGCACTGGCAGGCAGATTCTTTACTGCCGAATCACCAAGAAAGGCCAGAGAGTCAATTACTGAGCTCCAAAAAACTTGGCCCTGAACAGAACATAAGATTCAAGGAATTTTAATTCCATACAATGACCCAGAGTGAACACCTGTTCCATGTAGGTAGAAGAAGGGCTCTAGATATGAGTTCTTTGGTTTAAAAAAAAATTCTCCAGATTTATCATGAAATATACAAGAAATATACAGTCCCATACAAGAGAGTATAGAAAAAGGATGATCAAAAAAATTGCACAAAGATGAGTGATGTCTTAGTCTGTTCAGGCTGCTATAACAGAATACCGTATGCCTGGGTGGCATACACAGCATTGACTTCTCACCGTCCTAGAGTCTGGGAAGTCCAAGATGAAGATGCTGGCAGATCCAGTGTCTGGGGACAGCCCACTTTGTGGTTTGCAGGTGGCTGTCTTCTCATTGTGTTCTCACGTGGCTGAGAGAGACTGAGAAAGCTCTAATTTTTGTTTTTAATGAGGGCACTAATCCCATTCATATGGGCTCTATCCTCATGATCTAATCATTTCCCAAAAGCCTTACCAACTGCTACTGTCACAGCGGGGTGAGGGGTAGGACTTCAACATACAACTTTGGGGAGGATACAAACATCCAGTCCACGGTAAGCTATGCTGTGATGCTTAGAGAGAGATGTCTAGCAGTCACGGTCCTAAGTCATCGCTAACATCCAGAGCTGCTGACTAGTCTGATCATTTTTACCTGCCCTTTCCTTCTTCCATCTGCTTTATAAAAAAGAAACTCTAAGCTCACATGGGTATTGTCTGCTTAATTATCATTCAGATAGTTCTCCAAAACCTCACATGCAAAACATTACATCATGAAATGATGTCATTATCAAAATCTAGAATATTCTTGGGCTCCAAGAGTAGAATGTATACCCTCCCCTGACTCTCTTCAAACAGGTGGGTAGACCCAGGTGGCAAGTGAAGAAAAAAAATGGCCTAAAATAAATTGTAATATTTTACTGTAACATATCATTTGATGAAGTCAAGCTTTGTCCAAACTACATTACCCCAAAAGTAAGAGAGTGTCCCTGTCTGATGCTAAATTCTAAGCCAGCTGCTTCAGAGCTCTGTGCTGTTTCCTTCTCCATGGTCTGACCTTAGCGGCCAGACATTTATCAGTGTTCTTTCTGTAACCAAACAGCACTTATTCCATATTACATGCTGCTTAGGCTGCACCACAGAGGCAGCCAGAAAATGCCTTGGCAGCACAGCTTTTTGCATTTCCATGGAGAAGTTATGCCTGAAGCAGTCATCTTATCCAGATGTATCTTCCCCCCTCCGATTGGGTCTTATCACCAGCTCAGTCACCCTCTTAACCTACTCCTGAGAAGTGGAGACTGGGGGCCAGAACATATGACTGAGCAGGACCCTGGAAGACACCCGCACAAACACATCTTTATTCTGCAGTTACAATTTCTGAGAGGTCCCAACCTGAGAGATCCCATTATTGGAAACTTCAAAGAAATAAAATAACATCATAGTTCCTTATGTAGGACAATATTGCAAAGTTCAAAATGTTATTCCATCTGGAAGACAAGATAGGGTCTATGTCATCATGTGTGAGTGTGTGTGTGTGAATGGTCTTAACAGACTGGCAGCAGTATGATGGAAGACCTCTAGCCTCCTATGATCCTGTCCACCTTAAGCGTCTTCCTTCAGGTGAGATGCTGCTGAACTACAGGTAATGCATGCATGTAACTCCAAGTAACTCAATGGCTCAATAGCCTTTGTTTCAGAAATTACTAGTGAGCCTGCCGAGAGCAAAATGAGCCCTGCTACCTTGTACCAGGTGACCACGAGACACATTTTATATCATCTGTATGAGAGTTCTCAAATTTCGGAAAGTTTGAGATTTACAGAAAGCAACATTGGTCTAGAAGCAAAGATTCTCATCCCAAGAAAATGAGTTCTAGTGAGTTCTAGTGACCTATTTGGATGGGAGGAAAGGTGAGGATTAAATGCTTCATATTTCTTGAGCACCTGCAGTGATCTATGTCCTTTTCAAAACATAGCAGAGGAGGCATAACTTCTCTTTCAATCAGGTTAATGAGGAATTGATTTTTGAAGCTTTTTAAAAACACAAAGTGTGGTACCAACGTTAAACACCAATCAGATGGGGAGTGGTGCTCACCTAGCTGACTACCTAATGTGGAAGGAAAAGTGTGGGTGATCAATAGCAGATCTATAACTCGTTCCCAGGGTGGAATAGAGTGCTTTCCCCATCAGCAGCATGAGCAAAGACTCATAGTCTCTTTGCTCAAAACCGTGTTAGTAATCAAAAGAGGACTCAATCTCCCTATAACTTAATGAGTACTCTTTACGATAAGGAGACAGGCCAGAGATAAAAATCTAGAAGGGATACAGAGGCCAAGAACAAGCGAAAGGCCCTGGCACAGCCTTCTGCAAAATGTATGTTGTGGTTTCTCAAGACAACTGGGCCACCTGGTGTTAGAAAGTTAACAGTTAAAGCTCCTTTCTCTCCGTCATCCATGGACCGCAAATCACACAAATGACCTTAGGACAGTGTTAGCCTCTACGGTGAGGGGGGGATTCAGCATTAAGCTTTGTGACTCCAGACATTCCCAAGTCTGTGGGAACACTGAAGGCATATCCTGTGTTGGCGAGACTTGGATTGTGCAGACGAACTGGAATCTATTGAGGGCTGGGTGAGACACACACCCACATCGGCAACCAAATCTAAATTAGTGATGTGTTAGTCGCTTAGTTGTGTCCGACTCTTTGTGACCCCATGGACTGTAGCCCACTAGGCTCCTTTGTCCGTGGGATTCTCCAGGCAAGAATACTGAAGTGGGTTGCCATTCCCTTCTCCAAAATAATGGTAACTATCATTTATTGAGGACTGAGTATGTGCCAGACCCTGAGTCAGTCAGACACCTGACCTACAGTATCTGATTTAATCCTCACAGCAACCCCACGGAGTAGGTACTGTTGTTACCACCATCACACAGATGAGAAGCTGAGAGAAGTGAGTTGCCTAACTGGTAAGTGTTAGCACTGGAATTCCCATCTTTAGAGTGTCAGACTCCAAGTCCTGTGTCCTTAATCACCCTACAGTCTGCCTTCTAACAAATAAAGCTACCATCTACTGAACACTTCATACATGCCATGCTTAATGACGGGCTGAGTATGTATGTCATCTCATAACATAGGCAGTTAAGGTGAGTAATTCAGCAGCTCGTTCATCTACTGAAGACTAACTTCGTCCACCATGCCAAAATGTTTCCGAAGTGTAAAGGAAACAAATGCCACTGCCTTTAAGAAGGTCATCATTCTTCCAACTGAACCATAAGTGGATCCTGACATGGTATCAGGATGGGTTTTCCTACGGGGACAAGAATACAGCAAGAACACACTGAAGTATGTAAATAAAGAGAGTCATTGAATTCAGTTAAAAAGTCTGAATGATGAAATATTTTTAAACAAATATAGTCTTTTTCACTTTTAAGATTCACTTTTTTCACTTTTTTATATTTTAAGAAAAAATATAGCTAGACTTAAGGTAACAATGTATTGCCAAGTGAAAATCCTGAGTAGTCAAGAAAATTTTCATTCATTATTGCTTTTACTTTCTGCAAATTAAAGTGCTTCTACAGTGCCTACAGACAGTTTATTCCCTTAAGAAAATGAAAGAGTCCCTCTGAAATCCAGCTTCTGCCTGAGTTATGACAAATTCCAAATTAGTGGTCCCTCAGTAGGGTCTATATTAATGACTGTATATTTAATCTTGTATTGACTATTTTAAGTAGCTCTTTGCCAAGGAATGCAAATGGTGTTAGTCCATCATCTCGTTTACTTTTATATAACAAAGTAGGCTAACCTGTGACCCACAGAGGAAGTTATATTTCCCAAGTCACACACCGAACTAAAAATAGACTCACACTCTGCCCCATTCATCAGAATTTCTGGTCCAGCTCATGCTGGCTCTCCACATTCCTCCTTCCACTGGGTAAATCATGCTTCTCCCCCATTCTTGACAAAGTCAGGAACTCCTTAGTCTAATTGCTCGTGTCTTTGTGTATAAATTAGTGGTTAATAATGTTATGAATAATTACATATTAATAACAATGTCATTATTTTTCTAAAGGTCATTCAAAGAAGAACTTTAGTCCCCAGCCTGAAAAGAAGAAAATGGGGAATGAAAGAAGGAGCTGTTTGTTTATTCATGTTTTTAAGCTTAGAAGAAACAAAGAATTAGACCATGACACATGCCAGAACTTCAAGTCGTTCCCCCATTCTACTCTAGACTTCCTCCTAACTGCAAAAACCTCAGTTTCGCTCAGAGCTACAACTTACCCAGCTGAAAACATTAACCTTCCCAGACTCCTTCATAGCTAATAGTCAGGTGACCCAGTTCTGGTCAATGAGGCATATGTAGAATTCCTTGGGGATTTCTGGGAAGAGTGTCTATCTTCCTGATACCAGTACTTGCTCTTCTTCTTTCCTTTTCTTTCTGTCAAGAATATGACCACGACTCCTGGAGATACAGCAACCATCTTTCAATAATAAGGCTAAAGTCACATGCTATGAATGATAAGAAAAGCAAAAGTCATGGTGTCTGGTGCATGAGCATCTATGCTGGCTATGGATATCCTGTCCCATCTAGGACCTGCCCTTATATGAAAAAATCTTGTATTTAACCCACTGTAATCAGGATTTCCATCATCTTTCATCAAAGAGATTTTTTAAAGATCCAGTTAACTTGGGGGATACCCTAATAAAAGGTAACCAAGACTTAGGGCATTTGGAGTTGAATGGACCTGTTGTTGTTGTTGAGCTTCTCAGTCATGTCTGACTCTGCAACCCCGCAGACTGCAGCACACCAGGTCTCCCTGTCCTTCACTATCTCCTGGAGTTTGCTCAAACTCATGTCCATCAAGTCAGTGATGCCATCCAATCATCTTGTCCTCTGTCACCCCCTTCTCCTCATGCCCTCAATCTTTCCCAGCATCAGGGTCTTTTCAAATGAGTCAGCTCTTCACATCAGGTGACCAAGGTATTGGAGCTTCAGCATCAGTCCTTCCAGTGAGTATTCAGGGTTGATTTCCTTTAGCATTGACTTGTTTGATCTTGCTGGCCAATGGACTGTCAAGAATCTTCTGCATGACCACAGCTCGAAAGGATCTTTTAAAAAGGTTTCAATTAGAATGGACCTGTAGAGATCAACTAATTGAAACCATTTTAAACCAGTAAGAAAACCAAACAGCAGACAAGAGATGTGCCTCGGGTCACAAAGCTGGTGATGCAGTTCTCAGCCCAGCGCTCTCTGTGAGCCCATGTGGCCTGCCTTGAAGAGTCAAAGATTAGAATGAGCTAGAGAGAGAAGTATTTCTCAGATAGCCAGATAAAAGTGGCTCTGTGAGAGAATAAGCTGGATCTGTATCTGGATGGAGATGTATTCAAAAACTGTTGACACAGTCCTTTTAAGAGAAGCAAGCACTTTAAAAAGAAAGACAGAAGAAAAAAATGAAGCTCACTGGCTTCTATACTCAAAAGTTGGAAACAACCGATTATTAAGTTATTTTAGCAGTCTTCCCAGAGTAAACTGGAAATAGAAGTGTTGGTCTTATTCTTTACAAGAAAGTAGGAAAAATACTGCCCTCTTCTTATTAGAGAAAAATCATTCAAAAGGCAGTACATTGTGCAGCCCACACTGTCTCTGCACAGAATGTCTCTGGATATTTAGAGCCTGGGCCCTGGAACCAGATTGCCTGCGTTCAAACTCCATCTCTACCACTTACCAGATGTGTGAACTTGGGTAAGTAACCTCTCCGGATTTCTCTCTTCCCATCTATACAATATGCATAATAATAATACTTACTGAAGGTTGTGGGCTTCCCTGGTAGCTCAGCTGGTAAAGAATCTTGCTGCAATGCAGGAGACCCAGGTTCGATTCCTGGGTTGGTCGGGAAGATCCGCTGGAGAAGGGATAGGCTACCCACTCCAGTTTTCTTGGGCTCCCCTGGTGGCTCAGCTGGTAAAGAATCTGCCTGCAATGCGGGAGACCTGGGTTTGATGCCTGGGTTGGGAAGATGCCCTGGAGAAAGGAAAGGCTACCCACTCCAGGATTCTGGCCTGGAGAAGAGAAAGGCTACCCACTCCAGGATCCTGGCCTGGAGAAGGGAAAGGCTACCCACTCCAGGATTCTGGCCTGGAGAAAGGAAAGGCTACCCACTCCAGGATTCTGGCCTGGAGAAAGGAAAGGCTACCCACTCCAGGATTCTGGCCTGTGGTATATACACATATACATAACACATACATATACACATATGTATGTTACCATTACTCTGATAGCCATGGTCAAATGTAATAGAAGCCTGGGGGTTCAAAGGAAAAGAAAATTCATGTCCCCGGGGATGTTTTGGCAAACTGGTAACGAAAGCACTTACATGAACGACTTCCTAGTGTAAGGAACCTCACCAAACATTTGTTCAATGAATGACTGCATATCATCAGTCAAAGAAAGTCCCAAAGAATCTTATAAATCTCAAAAAAAGATATCTAAGGGTAACGTAGAAGCCAAAATTTTTTATGTGTGTGTTTCCTTTTTTACTAAATTTATTTATTTTTTAATGAAGGATAATTGTTCTACAGAATTTTGCTGTTTTTGCCACACCTCAACATGAATTAGCCATAGGTACACATACATCTCCTCCCCTTTGAACCTCCCTCTCCTCTGCCTCCCCATCCCACCCATCCAGTTTGATACAGAGCCCCTCTTTGAGTTTCCTGAGCCATACAGCAAATTCCCATTGGCCATCTAATTTACACATGGTAATGTAAGTTAGAAACCAAAATTTTAGCCAGAATTTGGAAACATGGCTAGAATTCATTTAGCCATAAATTATAATGAATGAATAGCAAGAAAATGTATAATTATACTTTTGGCTTGTATATCTTTTATGATTTGCTAGAAAAATATGTTACGTTTATCAATTTTAGTAATAAAAATATGTATTTTCTTTTAAAAGAGACAGAATGGCTCTAAATCTGTAACGAGAGCCTTAGTAACCACAGTAAGAAAGTCTGGGGCTGAGAACACTTAGCTGTGGTGTCGACTTCCACTTGCTGGACACTCCCCACCATCTTTCTTTCCACAAGGACAATGAGAGCAGCGAACTAAGAGCTAGGACCCTGAACTACAGATATTGCTGTGAGACCTTGGGCAGGTCACATAACCTATTTGGGTCTGTTTTCTATCAAGAAAAATGAGAGTCTTGGACTAGCTCATTACCAACTTTTCTTTAAGTCCAATAATTCTAAGAAGTCTTCTATAGGGATAAAACTAAAAGTTAGGAGATATAAATTGTGACAAATGTCACAGATATCAAGCCAAGGAAAATCAATAAGAATATCTCCAAGGCAAGCTTAGATGGTTTTGTCACTTTCAACGCACCTATCACTATTAACCTGTAGAGTTTCTACCATGATTATCACCTTACTGTTGCAGAAGAAGTATCTTTTTGCATTTAAGATATCTAAGCTATTGCAGTGACCTGCGATGGGGTCACATGGCACAACATCTCTGAGGCCACACTCCCAAGAAGGAGAAAAGAGGTGGAGAAGGGGTGATTAGAAGGGCTTTCAAGATGGGAAAAGAAAAAATGTACAAAACATCTATCAGATAAATCATATCAAATGCCATATCAATTCTGAAGGCAAAGGCAGAATTTTGAGGCAAAGGCCAAATTGCTTGCTCTAGGCGACACCTGTTCCTGTTTTGCCTTTCCTAACATCACCCTGACTTTTCTTGCCAGTTTAGCTGAAACTGCTCCCACCCCCTAGCAAGAGGACCGAGTCCTGGCTGGCCCAAGGTATTCTGTGTTCCCCCTCTTTCCTGGCCATGGTGATTAGTTGAGGAAAAGGTACATATTATGGAATAAATGTGACCTACCCACCAAATTCATGTGTTGAGATCTAATCCCAATTCAATTTGGAGATAGGGCCCCTGGGAGTTCATTGGGTCATGAGAATGGAGTCCTCATGAACAGGATTAGCCTCTTTATAAGAAGAGACCAGAGATCTAACTGGCTCTTTCTGCCATGTGAGGGTACAACGCAACAGAGAGCTCCCACCAAAACCTGATCATGCTGGATTTCAGAGGTCCAGTCGCCAGAACTGTGATAAATAAATTTCTGTGGCTTAGAAGCTACCCAGTATAAGTACTATGTTATAGCAGCCTCAACTAACCATAATAGCACTTAAAAAATATCAGGCCAATCAAGGGCCAATAAGACAACTTTTGGCTGAAACCAAAGAAGCCAAGTTTCTCTTTCTCATGGATATGAATGAAGACAGTGCCAGGGAGAGGTTCACAACTGCCTTCAGACCCAAGAGGAGAGCCTGCTTAATAACAGGACCAACATCAAAGATTCATCTGAGTCTTAATTCAAATCCTACCCAGACTATTTAGTTACCAAATAAAAAGAGACCTCCTTTCCATTTTAGGCAACTTAGGTTGAGTCTTCCATTCTTTGAGACCAAAATCTTTCCAACTGAAGCAGTTTGCCGACTGTTGGAATAGCAGTATTGAGAGTCAAATGATGGGGCATAGCACAACCAGTCATGATTCAAGAGACAAAATGACCCAAAGCAAATAAGTCAGCAGAAAAGAACTAGCAGATCAGGCCTCATGGAAAGGGATGTGACACAGAGTAGCTGGTCCATGTCTGCATTTACGAGATCAGGGACACACCATCCTAAGACATCACAGGATATCTTCTGTGGGAGAAGTAAAAGCAGGAGGCTTCTGAGACTGTATCTGTCAAATGTGTGGCCACTCCACTGAGGGTCATGTTGAGACTCAATGTTCCACTGAGAGAAAATCAGAAGAGGTAAAAAGGAAGGCAGGACTTAGGAGATGAAAATCATAAACCATTGCCCAAAAGTCCTGGGAAAGCACAATATGACTGAAGGCAGCATCAGTATCTACAGAGTCCAGCTCAATAGGGGAAGTATTGAGTTTCAATACTGGGCTTCAATCTTGGCTGCAGCAATACATGCCAATCAGACAGATGATTTGTGTGGTTCCAGGTGAGTCATTGATCCACTTGGAGGCAGAACTCAGGCAGGGTGAGAGGTCCAGGGGGAAAGTCCCACCTCCTGGGGCAGAAGTTGAGATTGGCAAGAATTAAGCAGGAGACATGCTCCCCTTTAAACCAAAGTGTGGTTTGGATTACTCCCATCCCTAATACTTCAGCAACTTTGTGATTCAATATCGTATTTTATAAAGAACTATGGGGGCTTACCTGATAGGTCAGTTGGTAAAGAATCCACCTGCAATGCAGGAGACCCTGGTTCAATTCCTGGGTTGGGGAGATCTGCTGGAGAAGGGAAAAAGCTACCCACTCCAGTATCCTGGCCTGGAGAACTCCATGGACTGTATAGTCCATGGGGTCGCAAAGAATCGGACAGGAGTGAGCAGCTTTCACTTTCATTTGGGGCTTCCTAGGTGGCTTAGAGGGTAAAGCGTCTGCCTGCAATGTGGGAGACGTGGGTTCGATCCCCAGGTCGGGAAGATCCCCTGGAGAAGGCAATGGCAACCCACTCCAGTACTCTTGCCTGGAAAAACCATGGACAGAGGAGCCTGGTAAGCTACAGTCCATGGGATGGCAAAGAGTCGGACACGAATGAGC